TTTACTCCCTGATAAACGCACGTTTTAGAAATGGATAAAAATAAGTTGTTTGACTATTGTGGAAAAAATAAACAAACAGTATTACTAATAGGCAATGGATGAGGTAAATGAGAATTTTTATTTTTTTACTTTTTAATTGAATCACTGTGAGATAGATCCTTACAAAGTTGTTCGTGATAAGATTTCAATCATACTGGTGGAAGGATGGGTGTTGGAATACTTTAAAACTTTTTTTTAAAAGGAAGCATCCCTCTCAACAAATGGTGTTTAATTCACACACACTGACGTCTCACTTCAAACACAGTAGTTACAATGAAAATCAGAACTGTTAACAAGTACACTCAGGGCCTTCTCTATCCTTTTACATATAATTTTCTCTCCCACAATTGCATCCTATCAGAATTTAGTGTCAATATCCTACATATTTTTATACTTTTTCTACTTATGTATATCCCCAAATAAATATATAGTTATTTTTTAAAGTTTATGTAGTGATAATATGCTATACCTATTCCGTGTATCATAATATAGGTCATTTAAAAGGTCATTCATATTGGCTATTGTATGAAACTTTTTGTAGGAGTCTGCCACAAACTATTCATATTCCTGAGATAACTTTTTAAACTGCTTCTCTCTGAAATTATTAGAAACTTTTTGTTAAATTTAGTTGAATACATCTTGGGTATATATAAAAAGTTGAGTTGCTGACTCAGAGGGAAAATACTTTTAAAAAAAATACTAGATAGTGCCAAGCTGCTCACTAATATATGATAATATGTATTTCCACCATCAATGAAAAGACTTCCAGTTCCATATCATGTTATATAAAGAGAGATTATTCACATTTTCCCACATTGTTTAATATGTGGGTGAAGAGAAATTACCTAAGGATTAAAATTATAGGTAGCACTGTAGCACTGTCCTCCCATTGTTCATCGATTTGCTCAAGCGGGCACCAGTAACGTCTCCATTGTGAGACTTGTTGTTACTGTGTTTGGCATATCGAATATGTCACAGGTAGCTTGCCTGGCTTTGCCGTGCGGGCGGAACACTCTCGGTAGCTCGCAGGGTTCTACGAGAGGGGCAGAGGAATCTAACCCGGGTTGGCAAAGGCCCTACCTGCTATGCTATCACTCCTTCCTAAATATTTTCATCAAAAATTAAGATATATGTGGGACTATATACAGTACAGGGAATAAGACAATTTCCATACATGTAGCTGACCCTGGTTCAGTTCCTCATCCCTACATATGTTACTTGAGCACCATATATGTGATTCCCATAGGAGTGGTACCCTGATCACAGAGCCAGGAGTAGTAAGCCTTGAATACTACCAAGTGCTCCCCAAACACATCCTTAAAATAAAAACAAAAAATCAGAAAAATCAAATAGGAATGGTTAGCCTTACTGAAAGGAAATTCGAAACTTCTTGCTGAATTATTTCTAGATTTCACTGGGAAAGAGGTTAGAACTCAAGGTAGTCACGATGTCCCTAATTGCATTATGTAATTATGTAATATGATAATATAGCTCTAATTATATTATATAATTATGGTAGTACGATGGTCTCGAATTAAATTAAATTTGCTTTTTTAAAAAGGTGTTAAAGTTTTATACTGATGTTAGTGACCACAAGTGTTTGAAATTTCTTTTTTTCACGTAATACTCAAATCTTGACCAGTGTAAGGAGTGAGGGGAACTAGTAACCTAGAAAAAAAGTCAAGGAAAACTAATTTGGGAAAAATTCAGCTGTCAATGGAGGGCTGTTTCATCATGTATAGTTTGAGTGGATCTTGATTTGATCACAGTTCTACAAATAAATTATTTTGTGGTTTGGATACAAACAAGTTAATCATTGAACTTTTATTCTGAGAAGACCGAGAATTGGATCATTTTTTATTTTCATTTGCAATTAATTCATGCTTCTTAAAAAGTATGTCATAATCTAGAATACTTGGTTTTCTGCAACAGCTGCAACTAGAAGTTCTAGAGAATACAGTAGCCCTGTAGCACTGTCCTCCCGCTGTGCATCCATTTGCTCGAGTGGGCACCAGTAACATCTCCATGGTGAGACTTGTTACTGCTTTTGGCATATTGAATACACCACGGGGAGCTTCTCAGGCTCTGCCCTGCGGGCAGGATACTCTTGGCAGCTTGCCAGGCACTCTGAGAGGGATGGAGGAATCAAACCTGGGTCAGCCACCTGCAAGACAAATGCCCTACCTACTGTGCTATCGCTCCAGCCCAGTCAGAATAAACAAGAAAAAAAAATAAAGCAGATACAGAAAGGAAAGAGAAATTATTTTCTTTGCAGCTGACATGTTATATGTTATCATACAGAAAAAAATTATGTTACTGTAATTTTTAAATCCTAAATAATAAAACTATTATATAACAATAACAAGCTTGGAAATATAAAACAAAAATCAGTTTAAATAAAAAATATAAAATAAAATTTAAAAATCAATTCAGCTTTTTAAAAATAAAGTCCAGTACTCATGGTCTAAAACTGGGCTTCTTAAAACATTTTTCAGTCATGATCCCTTTTTGCCCCCAAAATTCAATATATACAAGCACTTCCAGAAACACTTTGGGCTCATTACACATTAGATTTTGAATTTTTAGTTGCTGAACTTTCAGAAACCTTTTACTGTTTCCAAATTTTTCAGGAGCCCACGTTCAGTTACAAAACCCATCTAATAGAGTCTAAAATATCTTTTCATGTGTTAAAATGGCAACACTTTCCTAAATTATCAACAAGGAAGGTTCAATTTCTGTCAGTATTCAAGTTTTCTGTACAAGCATAATTGCTGATCCTATAGAAACAGTGGTGAAGGGATTCTCATACTTTTGATGGTTAGTGTGGTGTAGCAGCACTGTATTTCTAAATTATATAATAATTACATCAACAGTATTGTAAATTGTGAGGCCAAAAAAAAAGTCAAATTACTTATGTGAATGATCCTAAAGTTCATATAAAATTGCGAAGGGATCCAGTATTTCAAAATGATAAAATTTTTCAAAATGATATAAAGGATAAAGAAGGCATATAAAGTCTAACGATTCTAATAATGGCAGAGTTCCAAATGTGTTTTAGAGCATGTTCTAGAATAACACATGTAATGATTAAGATAATTCATTTTCTGTATTAAAAAAGTTTTGGGCATGTGTGTAAATAATATCTATGTAGGGCTAGCATGATACCACAGCAGTAGGGCATTTGCCTTGCACGCAGGTGACCCGATCAGCCCAGGATCAATTCCTCTGTCCCTCTCGGAGAGCTCAGCAAGCTACCGAGAGTATCTCTCCCACACGGCAAGCCTGGCAACCTGCCTGTGACGTATGAAATATGCCAAATACAGTAACAAGAAGTCTCACAATGGAGATGTTACTGTGCCCACTCAAGCAAATCGATGAACAACGGGAGGACAGTGCTACAGGTGTATATAGGTTCTAAAATAATGTGTTGGTTGGAATGATCCAACGGTGGGTCTAACAACAGGTCAGTCACATTTGTCTTGAATGTGGCCCACCTGGGTTCAATCTGTGGCACTCCAAATGGTTTCCTACCAGGAGTGATTCCTGAGCACAGAACCAGATGTGGTCTAAATCCTCCACAAAGTAAAATATAAAATATTCTGATAAATGAATATGAAAATTCACTATTAATAAAATCTAATGAAACACGTTACTAATAAACTTTTGTATTTACTTCTGAAGAGTTCATTTTAGGGAAAAAATGGAAATTTCTTTTCCTTTATGTAATTTTATTTGTTACTAATTGTTAAAATTAAAATTTTCTGTGCCTAGAACTGTGCTTAGTTTTCCAGATTCTTGGGATTATCTTCCTCAGTCTTCAACTCTGCCCTAGAAGCTCAGTATTGGAATTGCCTAGAGTTGCTAGTAAAAGGGAAAGTGGGTCTGTTCTTGAAGATGTTTATATGCCAATTACAGCATTGTTATATGGATTGTGTGTTTATCTAGAATGACTTGATGGTAAGAACAGAAGTTGCTTAGTAACCCCTTGTTGTTAATACTGTTAACTATTCAAAGGAATAAATTCTGTTGTTCCCAATTTTGAGAACAATAACTGAAGGCATAGAGAGTTTAAGTAATTTGTTAAAGTATCACACAAATAACAAATACAATAGTTTCAAATTCCTGTCTTTTACAGTGTGTGGTTCACATTCAATGAGATTTTATTCTAAAATAATAATTCTTATAATTTAAAACTATTTCAAAGAATAATATTGTCAATCTAATAAGTGCAATATTAATACAGTCTTGGAACCCATAGATAAAAATATTTTTAGAATACATAATCACTAATAAAGGTCACTGTCACTGTCATCCTGTTCATCGATTTCCTCGAGCAGGCATCTCTAGTCCACCAGTAAAGTCTCCATTCCATGTCACATTGGAAGCTCTTTCAGGGTCAGGGGAATGAGACTCATCATTGATACTGGGTTTTGGCACATCGAATATGCCATGGGGAGCTTGCCAGACTAGACAATGAGAGGTCCGGGAGCTTGTTTTTATAGTCTCTGGATCTTGGCCGTTGATGGGATTACACGGTGCTGGGGGCAGTTGGTGGGTGTAACTGTGTAGCTATTGGAAGATGGGGGATCTGGGTGGAGAAGACCCAGTCCCAATCCAAGCAGACTTGGAGATCTCAGCCCTGGGTCCTGCACACCTGGGTTCCTCTGCCGGTTCCTTTATGTGTGAGGCTCGTCCGAGTGTGTGGAGAGTAGTCTTAAGCATGGCTGTGGCTGGGTTCCCGAAGTCTTCAGATATATATATATATATATATATATATATATATACCTTATATACATATATAAGGTATATATCAAATTTAATAAATGGTAATGAGTGGGATAGACACCAAAATATTCATTACTTTTTTATTATTAAGTTTGCAACAAGATTAAGTGACAATGTACCCTCTTCCTCCATTTCCCTTTTAAACAGGATAGATTTGCACATTGTATCTGACCATCATGGACCTTTTACGTCCTACTCTAATGGCAACTCATGCCCACTCTCAACCAACATCAGCCAACTTTCTACCAGCCATCGGTACCATGACATCGAGCTATAAGAATCATTTCCCTCACTCCAATTTCACCCATAGCTTAAGCCTGCCTTGGAGACCAAGTACATACTACAAAGTGGCCTCCAACTTACCAACCTTGGGTCCATACAGCACCAGATCTGAAAGAGTTTCTGAGAGCACTATGCTCCCCTTTGTTTCCAACAGAACCACACTCTTTACAAGATATACTCCTGATGATTGGTACAGAGCCAACTTAGCTAATTTTCTAGAATCTAAAACTTCCTGGCATAATTCAGAAAAACTCAGGGTGGATACATCTCGACTGATTCAAGACAAATATCAAAAAACAAGAAAATCTCAGAGAGATTCCACTCAAAATTTGGGAGAACGAGTCAATGACATAGGATTTTGGAAATCTGAAATAATTCATGAATTGGATAGAATGATTGGGGAGACAAATGAGTTAACTGATATTAAGAAAAATATGGAACGGTCTTTGATGGAGACAGAAGCCCCACTTCAGGTAAATACAAGATGTTATAATAAAAAGTACTGTTTTTTATTACTATAGCTAACTGACTGAATATCTGAGATTATATATTAAATTGTGTTTTTAATAATATCTATTACTGAATTATAATTTAAATGATACAATTTATCTGTTGACTTGTTTTCAATGCCTCTGAAGAGACCTAACTTTGATTAATTTTATTATTTTAGTGAATCACCATAGATTACAAAGTTACAAAGATATTTATGATTTAGTTTTAGGTATTCAATGTTCTAACAGCAACCTCATCACCATTACCCTCCACCAATGTCCCAACTTTCATTCCCATCCCCCAGCCTGCCTCTGTGGCAGGCACTTTTTCTCTCAACCATTGTCCTAATGGTTCCTTTCCCAACTTATTCCCCTACCCCACTTCACCTGTGAGTAGCTGCCTACTGAAGAGCACGTCTTCCCTTTCTATTGCCTTCTCTTTTATATTGCCCTGTGAAGGTCATTATAAGTCTGTTCCTCTCCCTCTGACTCAACATGATACTCTCCAGATCCATCCATATAGCAGAGTTCATTTTTCCATGCAGCTGAGTAGTATTCCATTGTGGTTTGCAGTCACTTTATCCAATCTCTTCTTAAGCATTTGCGTTGTATCCAGATTTGGGCTATTGTGAATTGGGCTGTTGTGCTTCAGTGAACATAGGAATGCAGATGTCTTCTGAATTCTGCCTTTGAACCTTTGGGGTACATTCCTCAGAGTGAAATTGCTGGGTCATATGGAAGCTCGATTCCTGCTTTTTCAAGGAATGTCCATAATCTCTTCCAAAAAGGCTGTGTCAGTCAATAGTCCCATCAGCATGAATTAGGGCTTCTTTTCCCCCCACAGCTAAAACTGGTTATTGTTACTCTGTATGAGGAATGCCAGTCTTGGTGGTGTGAGGTGATACCTCATTGTTGCTTTAATTTGCATTTCCCTGATGATTTGTGTTATGGAGCATTTTTCATACTTCTTAATTCTCGTGTCCATTGATTTTTGTTTTGTTTTGTTTTGTTTTGGGGTCACACACTGCCATGCTCAGGGTTTACTTCTGATGGTATCATCTGGGGTGCCTAGGATTGAACTCAGGTCAGCTACATGCAAGGCAAATGTACTATCACTGCAGCCCCAACATTTTGGCCATTTGTATTTATTCTTTAAGTGTTTTTTCATTTTTTCTCCCCATTTTTTAAATAGGATTGGATTTTTTTCAGTCATATTTAACTCACTCCATTTTATGAATTATACAGAATAATTATTCAGGTAGAAATATCTGAAATGTAAAGCTAAGGAGACTAATTAAAGATAGGCTCATAGGTCACAACAATATTTTCTGGTGAACAGGAATTCTTTTCATACATTAAAAAGCTACTTGGCGGAGCTGGAGCAATAGCACAGCGGGTAGGGCATTTGCCTTGCACGCGGCCAACCCAGGTTCGATTCTCAGCATCCCATATGGTCCCCTGAGCACTGCCAGGGGTGATTCCTGAGTGCAGAGCCAGGAGTAACCCCTGTGCGTCGCCAAGTGTGACCCAAAAAGCAAAAAGCAAAAAAAAAAAAAAAGCTACTTGGTCATTGCTATCTTGAATTAACAAAAAAAAATGAGAAAACAAAGCATGATTTAAGTGTTTTACATAAAATGCTTGTGAGTATTCTATTGCAGGGTACAGTGAAATGATCAAATGTGACTATTTTTGGAGATATGGTATATACGTTTGGTTAAATAGAGCAATGGGACTGAGGTAAGCCAATTGAGATAGTCAGGAGTAGTCAGGATAGTCAGGCATTTCATTTGTTTGTTTAACTTAGATCAGACTTCTGAGTGGACTTAAATTTCTCCTACCCCTTTTGTCTTGAGTGTATGAATTTGTTGATCCTCCTTCAATGAAAACTTTCTGTTCTTGGAGATATGCAAATTACAACAAAAATTTTGAAATGCATTTTGATGAACAATGCTAAACTCATCGTTGTGTATATATAACTTATTTGCAATGCAATAAGAATTTGCAGTGGACATTTACTGAACTTTGAAGTTAGGTAATTGGTTAGAGATGTCTGCACATTGTTGTTTCTTGTTGTATTTATTCCCCATTTAACACACAACCAACAGAGATCCCCAGTAAGGATAGTCTACTAATGATGTCTTTTTAAAATTCACACTCATCGATTTGCTCGAGGGGGCCTAGTAACGTCTCCATCGTGAGAATTGTTGTTACTGTGTTTGGCATATTGAATACGTCACAGGGAGCTTGTCAGACTTTGCTGTGCGGGCGAGATACTCTCAGTGCTTGCCTGACTCTCTGAGAGGGGTGAAATAATCGAACCCGGCTCGGCCAGGCCACTGCACACAAGGCAAATGGCCTACCACTGTGCTATCGCTCCACATATGATTAATTTTTTTTATTTTACAGAAGCATTTTAGATGCTTCAATTTTTAATTATTTTATTTTATTTTATTTTTATTTTTACAAAGTAGTTCACAATATATGATTACTCTTAATATTCAAACACCAATCTTACCACCATTATACCTTCCCACCACCATATTTTGGATGTTCTCATCCAGAACTCCAACCCTGTCCCAAAGCAGAACTGAAATAATTTATTTTGTATTGTTTGTTTTGAATAAACAGCTAAAAATGCTCCAAAAAGTTTTCCTTAGAGGAGAGTGTGTGAAGATTGTTGTATGTCACCTAGGGGTCATTAAATCCTACTAGAAGAGATTACTAATGTGTTGTTAAGGGGGAAATTTATATATATATTTATATATATATATAAGGCCCTCCCGTTGATTGTCGATTTGCTCGAGCGGGCCCAGTAACGTCTCCATTGGAGACTTTGTTGTTACTGTGTTTGGCATATCGAATACTCTCGGTAGCTTGCCGGGCTCTCCGAGAGGGGCGGAGGAATCGAACTCGGGTCGGCCATGTTGGCCACTTGTAAGGCTGACGCCCTACACGCTGTGCTATCGCCATATATATATATATATATATATATATTTAAATATTATTATATATATTTGTAAAAAATATGTTTCCCTCTAAGATTGGTTGCCTTCTACTTTAAACCTCTCAAATGTGGTGTGCTACTCTTGGAGTATTAGTGGTGTGAGGTATGAGATGTATCCCAGCCACAGGTCCAGTGATAGGTTTCCTTGTGGGTGAGTCTTGGCCTGAGCGTGTAGAGAGTGGCCATGAGCATTGCAGTGCTTGAGTTCTGGAGGTTTTTGGCTGCCAGGGCCGGGTACCTTGGGGCAGGGAGGGTCCTCATCCACTCCCCTCTGGGGTGCTCTGAATGAAGCATCCTGGTTGGGGGTCTGGTGGCATGGCTATGGCAAGTCGTTTTATGCTCTCTTCCGAGAGAGAAGGACAATAAGTCTCTGGATCATGGCTGTTGATGAGAATATCTGGTGCCAGCCAGAGGTGACTTGTGGGCATAACTGCTAAGTTTCTGGAAACAGGGGCCATGGGGGAAGGTCACCCATTCCCGGTAACGTTGAACCTGGAGTTTTCAGCCGTAAGTCCTGCATAACTGGGTTTTCTGCGAATTCCTTCATGGGTGAGATTTGGCATGAGTGTTTGGAGAGTGGCTGTGAGCATGGTGGGGGTTTTCAGATCCCAGGGCTGAATCCCTGAGGGTGGGGAGGGGCCTCACCTGCCCTCCTCGGGGTGCCCTGAATGAAACTCCCTGGCACGGGTCTGGTGGCATGGCTATGGAAAGTTGTTTTATGCTCTCTTCCGAGAGAGAAGGACAAGGAGTCTCTCACATATAATAAAAATTTTAAAACAGGGGACATACACTGTGGTGCTGGGAGGGAGCAGTCTAGGAACTACTCCCAGTGGTCTGCAGAACTGTGTGTGGTATGGGCCTGATAGTTCAGTACTTTCCTCTGCATTGTGGTCCTGAAACTTTGTTAGTGCTGGAGGATACCAGGGCCACAAAGCAGTACTCTGGAAGTGCTACAGCTATACCCAGCAGTAAGAGGTGAGGAACATAAGTGATGCCAAGAATTTTACTTGGAACCTTCATATGCCAGGTGTTTATATTCTACCTCAATAAACAACATCTCTTGTACCATGAATTGTTATTTAAGATTAGAAATACATAGTTTTCTTTGAGCACTGGAAAACTTTTGAGGATTTCTGATCTACCTAAGCCATCTCTTAGTTTATACTTAAAATGATAGCCATATATGTTTTTTTTAATTTTAGTTCCTTTCATACTTTTAATGATGACTGTATTTAGGGATATGGCTCCATTTTAGAAAGTTTATGCAATTTTTTGTTGAGATATTCTTGTGTACTAGAATATCTATTACTAATAGTGCCAGAAACCTCTAATTAAAATTGAATGTATTCACATAAACAAATATCAAGACAAAATTATGATCAGCTACTCTAAGGGGAAAACGTTAAAATGCAATAACTTAATTATAAATTAAATCAATGAAGCAACCACATTAGACCATCAAATGTACAGAAGTGAAAATTGATAGCATATAGGGTTGGTTCAAGTTTCTAAAATGAACACTTTCGTATATTGCTAAGTAGAACTGTGAATTAGTAAAAACTTCCCAGTATGCAATTTCTTTTTTTTTTTTTTTTGGCTTTTTGGGTCACACCTGGCGATGCACAGGGGTTACTCCTGGCTCTGCATTCAGGAATTACCCCTGGTGGTACTCAGGGGACCATATGGGATGCTGGGAATTGAACCGGGGTCAGCCACATGCAAGGCAAACGCCCTACCCGGTGTGCTATTGCTCCAGCCCCAAATTTCTTTTTTTTTTTAATTTAATTTTTATTAGTGAAATACCGTGGGGTACAGTTGTAGACTTACAAACTGTCGTTCTTGGGTTTCAGTTATACAATGATCGAGTACCCATCCCTCCATCAGTGCCCATTTCCCACCACCAATGATCCCAGTAACCGACCCTCCCCCTCCACCCTGCCTCTGTGGCAGGACATTCCCTTTTGCTCTCTCTTTCCTTTAGGGCCAGTATGCAATTTATTAAAACATATTAAAATATTAAGAGGAACCTGAGAAATATTAGAGGGATTAAGATGGGCTGGAGCGATAGCACAGCGGGTAGGGCGTTCGCCTTACACGCAGCCAACATGGCCGACCCGAGTTCAATTCCTCCGCCCCTCTCGGAGAGCCCGGCAAGCTACCGAGAGTATCTCGCCCGCATGGCAGAGCCTGGCAAGCTCCCCGTGACGTATTCGATATGCCAGACACAGTAACAACAAAGTCTCCAATGGAGACGTTACTGGGCCCGCTCTAGCAAATCGACGATCAACGGGAGGGCCTTTACCTTTTTAAGATGCATGCCTTGTATGTGGCCAACCTTTCTTTGATCCCTGGCACCACATGGTCCCCCTATATAGCCAGGTGTGGCTCTGGAGGCTCCTGAACATGATGGTAGTGACCTGAATAATCCCAAACACCACAGAGCTTGAGCATCGCCATATCTGTAAGCTACTGGATTAAACCACTGGCTGGGTTGGTTAAGAACCACCCAGGATGGGGCCCTGAGCTTCCTGAGAACCTTAGATGCTCCCTCTCCCAAATAATAAAATAATCAAAGTTTTCTTTATTCATTCATTACTCTTCTAATAAATTCAAATTGTTCTATTAAAATGGAGTTTCATAAAAAAATGTTTTGCCTGTGGTTGTTCCTCTACAACCTTCTTCATCTTGCCAGGATCTCGTCTCTTACAAGTCTATGTGAGTGCTTGCACAGTGGGCATGGGCAGTGATTATTCAGTTTCTTAATTTTATTATATGTTCCCACAGGAAAGAAAAAATCAGACCACACAAAGCAAAACAGTTATATTTTGAAAAAAAAAAAGAGAGCGAGAGACAGAAGAGAAATCCTGTAATGTAAAAGAAAGGGATTACATTTCCCAGGCCTGGGAATCAGGCAACCCTATAATGGAGTTTGCCATAAAGCATAAAAGTGACACACAGAGTAGAGGGGTGTGAAAGACTTGAGAACAAAGTGCACCCCACCCAATTTTGCAAAGCTGCTTTTAAAGGCCTTTTCTAAACTGTGCCTGCTTTGTGCTTTTTGTGCAGTTAAGTATGTGGGCTGGAGTGATAGCACAGCGGGTAGGGCGTTCGCCTTACAAGCGGCCAACATGGCCAACCGGAGTTCGATTCCTCCGCCCCTCTCGGAGAGCCCGGCAAGCTACCGAGAGTATTCGATATGCCAAACACAGTAACAACAAAGTCTCCAATGGAGACGTTACTGGGCCCACTCGAGTAAGTATGTTGCTATGGCTGGAGCGATAGCCCAGCGGGTAAGGCATTTGCCTTGCATGCAGCCGATCTAGCTGACCCCAGGTTCGATTCCTCTTCCCTTCTCGGAGAGCCCAGCAAGCTACCCAGAGAACCCCCCGCCACGCCTCCCCGCATGGCAAAGCCTGGCAAACTGCCTGTGACGTATTCGATATACGATATTCAATATGCCAAACACAGTAACAACAAGTCTCACAATGGAGACGTTACTGGGCCTGCTCAAGCAAATCAATGAACAACGGGAGGACAGTGCAGTGCAGTGCTAAGTATGTTGCTAGTCCAAGAAAGATTGGTGGTCCCTGTTCAGTGTTCTCAGTTGTTGGTTGATCCCGTGGTGAGTCTTGATAGAGCCTGAACTTGGGGTGTGAGCCAGTGTCCCATGTAGGACTAGAGGGCGGTGGCAGAAACTTCATTATAGATCGCATCTTGATTTCATGATTATATATATATTTAATTCATTACTCTAGATCCCCTTCTCTCGCCCTTACCTAGTTGCCTAACTTCATTCTATCACATGCTATGTCTGGATTATAGTGTATATATTTTTCTTATGCCTTCAAAAATTGACATTAAGGGACTGGGTACTCTCTTGCCTTGCACAGCCAATCAGGTTTCTATCCCTGGCACTAAATATCTCTCGCCCACAGTTACCCTCTGCAGTCCCCAGAGTCCTGCCAGGAACAATCCCTGAGTACTGCCTGGTGCGACCAAAATAGCACTATCAACAACAAACAGCAGTATACATTTATGAATGTCTTTGAAAAAAGTATTTTGCAGTTACATAATGTTTTTTCATTCATAATTTATTGTTAGCTGTTTGAATCATTAACACACTTCGTCTCAAGACGATTTCATGATAAGTTCCTACTATTTAAAGTGAAGTCTAAAAAGCATAATATAAAATTGTGTGGTAACCAGAATTTATTTTATTACAAACAAAATAGTAATAAGAATATTGATAAATTTCCCTTTTCTGTGTTTTTGTCTGTAAAATACGATTGTCTTTTAAAAATAATTGAATGAGCAGTAAATAGTACTTAAAAAATAATTACTTGGAATTTAGGCTAAAGAAATATTTTGGTGCCGCATATGCTTCTCAGACACTCGTGCAGCTGCTATGCACAAGTGATGCCTGGCACATATGTCATGCAAACATATGTCACGCAAACCTTCCCTCTTGAGATATGGACTTTCTTTTTTATTTTGTTTGTTTTTTTGGGTCACACCCAGTGATGCTCGGGAGTTACTCTTGGCTCTACACTCAGGAATCACTCCTGGTGGTGCTCGGGGAACCATATGGGATGCCGGGAATTGAACCCAGGTCTTTCGCATGCAAGGCATACGCTCTTCCCGCTGTGCTATTACCCCAGCTCCGAGATATGTACTTTCATACTTTAACACGGAATGTGAACCGGGGCTCTCTCTGCCTTTGGAGAAGCCCGTGTTTTCTCTTAAACACGTTACTCGCTCTCCCTCCCTTCCCTTCCTCAGAATTTCTAATAAGAACTGCTTTTACTTCAAGAGAAGGAAAAAAAAGAAGAAAAATTTTGCTGTCTTCTTGGGGGGATGTGGGAAGGGAAAGGCACACTTGGCTGTGCTTAGTGCTCAGTGCACAGGACTTCTGTCTCTGCACTCAGGGATCACTCCTGGTGGGCTGGTGGGCACAATACAGGAAGCCAGGATGGAACCCAGGCTAGCCACAAGCACTTACCTGCTGTGCTATCTCTCTGTCTCCAATATTTTGGTGTCTTTAAAGATGAGGAAATTTAGCGTAGTCAAAGAGGGATGGGGATGTCTACATCCCCCTTGATCTCAAAATTTAGGGAGAAGGACGGAGAAGGAAAGAAATCAGGGGTAAAAGAAAGATGAGAAGGGGACGTAATGGGGGAGCAGGGATTGGGGCTTCAGTTGTGGTATATAGCTATATATCACATATACAAAGATATATATGAGCTTTGAATAAGCTTTGAATATCCTTTCATATGAGTGGAAATATGAGTGGGATTGGTACTGAAATATTATATGCCTAAAACTCAACTATCAATCGCTTTGTAAATACAGTTCTTTAATTAAATAAAAATTACTTAAAAATAAATGCAAAAATAGCCACTTGTTTCTTCATTCTTCTCGTAGAAAATATTTTGAAACAATGTCTTGACAGGCTAACATTATCTTTTGCCTAGCAACAGGAATTTTCAAGGGTTGTCGCAGTTGGTTTCATGCTAACTTTTCAAAAGAAAGGCTTGAAAAGTACATATTGACAAATGACGATGACGAAGTTCTATGGACGTATTTAGAAAAAGACTATTAAATAAGCTATTCTGTGATATTAATCAGGTTGTATTAATGTTTTCCATAATTTTTATATCTGTAGGTAGCCCGAGAATGTTTATTTCATCGAGAGAAAAGAATGGGAATTGATCTAGTTCATGATGAAGTGGAAACAGATCTACTTATGGTGAAAATGGGGGAAATGCTTTAGTAACAAGAAACTTGGTTCCAAACATGTTTAATGTATAAAATATTTTGGTTACTTAAGGATACTTATAAACTATAGTATATATCTATAGTATTTAGAAAATTTTTTGAATTGTATGAGTAATAATAGATATTTATTTAGAAAATCTGAAAATTCAGAAAAGGATAAAGTAAGGTAAAATTTAGCTGAAGCTTAATTAGACATAAATTCCTGTTAATTTTCAGTCTTTTGTTAACCACATTTTTATATGCATTCCTCAATTCAAAGACAGAAACAGGACCTCAAATTTTGAATAAAACAATTCAGTCTAAGTGAATTTTGACTAAATTCTTAACGATATTTATTCTTAAATATAAATGTGAAAACATTTAAAAAGCTTTATTTTTAGAGCAATTTAAGTTAAAAAAAATTTAGGGAGGAAGTAGAGAGATTTTCCATATGTTCCCATTGCCGAAATAATCTTCATTATAACCATTCCCCTCCACAGTGGTTCATTTTTTGAAACTGATAATTCACTGATATAACTTAATCACCCAAAGTCCATAGTTTACCATTAGGTTTTGAATCTTCCATATTCCACCTGTTTAATCCTGTCCCCCAAATACTGCCTTATTAAAACTATACGTGGGTAATTTTTCCACATTATTAGATACCCCTCTAGGATACAATTTTATTTGTTTCTGTTATTTTGGGGGAGGCTTAGCCAGCAGTGCTCAGGGTTGATTCCTGGCTCTGCACTCAGAGATGACTCCTGGCAGGGTGGGCGTTCCTTATGAGATGCTAGATATTGAACCTGGCTCAGACATGTTGCAAGGCAAGCAGTTTATCTGCTTTACTATCTCTCAAAGCACTAAAATATAATTTTAATGTTTATATTAAAAACGTTCCATAATGTGAAAATTCTACTACACTATTAAAAGTCCATCCTCTTTTTCAGAATAGTTTTCTTGTTCTCATTCCATTTTTGCTACTTTAATAACGGGATGTTAAAAACTTGATTGATAACTTTCTAATTATTTTCTTAGAATGCACTTTAAAGTGGTAAGTCAGAGGGTATGTGTTTATGAAACTTTTGATGTTTATAACCAAATGACCTTCCAGTAGCTGAAATCTAATGTTTATTACTTTGCTGATTTTCCTAAGTTTTCTTTCACTAATTAAATATGATTTAGTTCTAAGGTATCTAACCTTTGCTCCTTAGACTATGGCATTGATTCACATGATCCATGGCATTCCTTGAGATTTAAGCCATCCCATGTCTCTCTTTCTTTTTATAGTCCAGACACTATCTTTGGTACTAACTCTACACCCCCAAATACCTGACAAACATACTTACATTAGCGATTCAGTTTATGTTCATAATTATAGAGCCTCAATGTAAATTTCTATTTTGATTCCTCTTTTTCCTTTTTGTCCATTACAGCAAGGTTCTCCAGTTCCATAATATGACTTGCTGAACATCATCTCCTTGACCTCCATACATTTTTCCAGCTCCTATAATTGTTCCTCTTGTTGGCTTCTGACCTATCTTTTTCTAAATAAATCATTTTTTCTTTGTAACTAATTATTGTGAAATCCCACAATGTCGTTCCTTTCCCCGGTTTCACTTGGATTTTCACTGCACACGATTATCAGTTTTTCCTTTGTGAAAATTTTTTTTCTTGGTTCTTTAATTTGTATGGGATAAAATTTACTATGGCCTTTCATTACCTGATTCACATACCTTCTCTATCTCATTTCCTGTTCTGAAGATTTCTACTTCAGTCAATCAATTCACTACCTTCAAATCAGCTTTGCAAGACCTTACTTGTTTCAGTCTTTGTTTCACCAGTTCTTGGTAAGAAATGAATCCTTGGTAAATAGTAGCTATGATTAAGCGGCCACTTGGGCACTAGTACCTTTTATGCTCACAAGTCATCAAGTGTCGTTTTAACACCACACTTTTTTTTAGAAACTCATTGTATGAATTTATTTCATATTCTCTTTACTTCCTGATTGCCTGAAGGAAATATGAGTTGAAAGATATATCTATGGAAAATGTGTTTTTGCCATTACAGCAAGGCTATGCCAATTGACTTTGTGAAAACCATAGTCCCTAACATCCATGTCTGAGACATATATGGGTTATGGTTATTCTAAGTGAAATAGATTTACAGTAAGTAGGGCCCCTTCTTTTCCATTTCTTCTTTCACAGCCTCTATGAACAAGTTTTATTATAATTGGGCATCTATTTTGTCATTTTATTTTGTTTTTATTTATTTATTTTTCTGATTTGTCATTTTAAATAAACTATGGAAACTTTTTTCCAGTGAATATCTTTCTATCATATTCTATATGACAAATTTTAAATGACTTCTAAACATTTTATCTTTACTGGTTTACTTAGGAAGAGAATATGGTATTTGTAAAAGAAATGAGCTATTTCCATGATTTTATTATTCTAAACTAAGGCTATATCTTAGCATCATTTGGTAAGTATTTTTTTTTAATTTTTGGGGTCACACCCAGTGATGCTCAGGGGTTCCTCCTTGCTCTGCATCCAGGAATCACTTCTGGTAGTGAACAGGGAACTATATGGGACGCCAGGGATCGAATCCCGGTCAGCAGTGTGTAAGGTCAGCATCCTCTCCTCTGTGCTATTGTTCCAGCCCCTGGTAAGCATTTTTAAAATATCAAGGAGTGTGTCCTGCATGCAGAGATTCTGATTCAAATCTGGGTACTGGACATTGATATTTTATAACTTTTCCAAAGATAGGTGCAATGAACATCCATAATTAAGAATCATTCTTTTTTTTCATGTAGCAAATCTATAAATAATTGTTAAAACTTGAAATCAAGCAGGATATCTTTTGGTTGGTGAGTGCATAAGTGCATTGTGGTATATTCAAACAAGATGTAATTAATTCGGCACTAAAAAACTAAAAAAAAAATGAACAGACATAGAAGAACCGTAAATTCATGTTCCTAAGTGAAAAATCTATCTTGACAAGGAATTGTACATATGAGAACTTATTTACTTTAAAACTATAAAATAATGTAGGACTGGGGCAATGATAAAGGGTTTCGGTGCTTATCTTGCGCACTGTAGTAAAAAATAGCATTGGTAAGAATCTAAAAATATAAAAACTAAAAAAATTTGTAACAAGTGATGTTAAGAAATAATGGGGATAAATTAAAAATGTACAAATTCATATAGTGGTGGGGATATAAAATAAAATGGTTGCTACTGCAAAAGCTTAAATATGGAACTATGAATTGGTTCATTTGGTGAGTCCACTTCTATAAGACTTAAAATACTATGTCAATAATATGTCATTCCATCAAAAGAACAAAAAGAAAATACATGTTTGTAAAAATTTAAATATGAAGATTTATAGGAGCATAATGTATAACAGTCATTTGGAAGCAATCCAAATATATTCAACAACTGATAGTGGAAAATAAGATATGATATAGAATGTTATTCAGCCAACAGAAAGGAATAAAGTGCTGATATATTCTACAATATGGTTTAGCCTTGAAAAACATGTCAAAGTGAAAGGCGCAGATCATGGAAGCAAGGGAATAATTTCATAACAAAGATGCCCGCCCTAGAAGCATGGAACTATAAATTCTATCTCTGCCTAGCAGATCAATGTGCTGAGCGTGGTCTCCACAGTTTACCATCTCCCTTGAAAAGCCAGGTGCACATCTGCAACCAGATATGAGATCCTTAGTCACTGTAATAACAGCAGCAATAAGTCAAAGGGAAGGAGGGAAATGTGGTTGGTTATGAAGGGTTACATAATTTATGATTCTATTTATATGAAAGCAGATTAAAGATTGTCTAAAAGAAAGAGAATATAGGGATGGGGTAACTGAAAATTGGGGATGAATGTTAAAGAGTATATGTTTATTCTGAAAACCATTGCATTATACAACTTGAAGGGTCAATTATATTGTGGCTGAATCTTATTTTAATAGATTTTATTTTTAAGAAGCACTAATTTCTTAGAGTATTGTGTTTTCTGAATCAGTGGTAGGGACTATTTTACCTCATAACTGAGTATGTCAAATCTAACTGTGGTTTGTATAATGACCTATCAGTTGAGGGAACACTTTGGTTATTGTCAATTAATGTAAGTAGTAAATGTTTTGTGAAGGTTAGTCAAGGTGGTAATATTATCATATCTTTTTCTCTTTTCCAAAATATACCTCTTTGAAAAACCAAATACATTAACAAAGACAAGAAACATCCTTAAAAAATCATTTTTGAAAAATGTATATGGAGAAGTGTCTTCTCATGAATTCTGTTCACTGTTGCTAGCAATATTTAACAATATTCTCCATACTATTACAGAATTTTTTTTTACTAGGAATGATATGTGATAAATGGTGATGAATGGTATGTGATAAATGAGCAAACCAGAAACATTTGTGTAGGGTACTTTAGAAATGCGCACTTAAGATGTGATAAAATAATAAACAGAAATATTGAAAATCTGGATGCTGTGTAGGAAAGGGAAAGGATACAATCACCAAAGAATGTCTGCGTTCCTTTCACAGCAGCAGTGCTCTAGCAGACTGCATTCTTATTTAATGTTTGCTTCTTCATTCAGTCCTTCACTTACTCAGGAAAGATGTAGTTAGTATCTATGGTACTTGTGCTGGGCTTGTAAACAAGGATACACTGCTGTCTCCTATAAATGATACATTTACAATAGAAAGTGTAGTCATTCCTCATGGTGGTATCCACAGGTATGTTCTAGCATTTCCATTAGCTTTTTATTTTCCTATAAAATGCTAATTTGAAAAGAAAATCAAAACTTTGCTGTTTTTATTCTTAAATTTATTTTTTTAATTTTACCGTCTCTTCTTCTGGACTGGAGCGATAGCACAGCGGGTAGGGCGTTTACCTCGCACGTGGCTGACCCGGGTTCGATTCTTCCATCCCTCTCGGAGAGCCCAGCAAGCTACCGAGAGTATCTCGCCCACTTGGC